TTCTGGAACTGTTGGAACGGTGAACCATCCAGATACCAGTGCTCGCCCGGTCTTGCCTACGATCGTGATGCTCGTGTGTGCATGTGGGCCGATCAAGTGCCAGAGTGCAAAAACGAAGGTACAGTAAATTCGCAAAATCTCTTATCATTCGCACAAACACTAATCCGTTCGAATTGTATTTACAGAAGTCGCCAACGGTTTCAGCTGTCCCGCCGCCGGTGAACTTGCCAATGCCGGTTCATTCTCGAGACATGCTCACCCTGAAGATTGCCGCAAATACTATATTTGCTTGGAAGGTGTTGCTCGTGAATATGGTTGCCCGATCGGCACTGTCTTCAAGATTGGCGATTCTGATGGTACAGGCAACTGCGAAGATCCAGAAGATGTTCCCGGATGGTGAGTAGAAACATTAGAATTTAACTTTTCACTATGAATCAATCGCTAGCACTTTAAATCGCATGCACTTCCACGAAAATAAATAGCATAAGTTAGTATGGTTGTTTTATTTGCGGTGTTGGCATATTTTTGACTAATTTTTTTTATTTTTTTTAATACTAAATACTTTGAGCTTTTATAATGTATTTAAGTTTAAAAAAGCTTGAAATAAATCTTTCATTCGCTTATGATTGTTCCTGTTCATACTGCAATGCATTTAATTGCTTCATTTATCAGACCCTTTCTCTATCTCTCTCCCTATAAAAGCACTTTATCAAACTGCACAAATTTCTTTAAGCCCTTGCATTCCGCTGCTCTTAAGACTTGTAAAAAACCAGCTCCCCACACAAAACATATTTGCTTAAGATTTCTTAGCGAGATATCCTCTAACCCTTTTTACCTTATCTACCATCTCCACATTATACAATTACAGTGAAGACTACTATGGCGATTTGGACTTGAAGAGCATCCGCAAAAGTGAACTCTTAGCTGGATTGAATAGTGAAGGTCGCACTAAGAACGCATCAAAAGCCAAAGCAGCCGCCGCCTCTTCCTCATAAACTCTAAAATGAATCTCTTACACGCACACGCATACCTT